CCTTGTCCTGACGTTGGTCATTTGCACACACCCGTCAAATCAACGGCTATTAGAAGGTTATTTGAAATATGTTTTGTAAGTAACGTAAGTATTGTAGAAGGCAGAAGTCACGATTAAACTCCACACGAAAATCTGCCTGGACGGGGAATCGAACCCCGGTCCACGAATTTCCGGTCCGTTGCTCTACCACTGAGCTACCGAGGGCTGACGATTAGGTGCGGAATTTAACACGTGACTTCCGCTATTAGAGTGGTCAACGGAGCGGGCGATTTGGCTGCGCTGGTCACCAGCGCACTAATGGTCAAGGTCACAAGGAGTAGTGATTGGTTTGGGATAATCGATAAACTGCAACTGTATGCCAGGCAAGAGCAACGTGGTAAGAAATGCAAAGTAGTTGCAGTAGATGGTAGTAGGGAGAACGCTTATTGCAGTGCTGAGTTTCAGCAACAAAATCCGTCACAAACGCAGACGTAGAATCAGAGATTTAAACGATAAGAATAATCCGGAAGATAGGTAGGTAGCTAACACAGCTGGAAAATCCGAGCTCAACCATGCAGGATGGTACACAAAAAGGCAAAAACGTCGATTTGGATCTATCGTACGCGGGTTTGACTATGTTTATGGTGCACAATAAATGAGACTGATCCCCAGAAGATTGGAGCAAACGGTTCCGTCCCCTATTTTTAGATAAGTACGACATCCGTTAACCTCCAGTCAGATGGGATGGTTTCGGTAGTCCAAATCTGATAAAAATAAGATATCAGTTCACTAATGAGAGCAGGACCCCAACTTAAAAGTGGACCGGAGGAAGTTCAACTGGCACAGGTGACTTGCGACGCTTTAGTAAGCGAAGCTCATAGGAAACATCAGCCTTGTAGTGTACCAGAAAACAAGCTCTTTCAGTATTTTGTAACATTGGATTTTACAGTTGGTTTAACCTTCAAAACGTCCATTTGTTTTACTGACTGCACATTCGTTGACAAAAACCGTTTTGGTGAGTACCTCGCTGCACGTTTCTCGCTTTGTCTGATTCTCTTCCTATTTATGTAGCCTGCACAATATACGTTGGGTTCAGTCGCCTCCGACTTCTACACTGTCGTATTTGACACGTATTACGTGTCATTGCTTACCGACTAGTATCCCAGGCTCCGCCCAACAGCCTCAGTGGGTGGAGAAACACCCACATACTAGGAGGCAATGTGAATCCGGAAAGCTACGATCTGTTGTGCCGGTGGCCGGCTGAACTGCTGTTCCAAATATTCCATCAAACATACGAGACAACTGTGACGGCTTTGGATTAGATCGCCGTCATTTTACGCGAAAACTCACCTAATATCTACTTTTTGTCTTCTGTTGACCGAAGCAGTGAGAGCATTTTGGAGGAGTTTCCCGAGGCGGCCGCTCGCTGCATCTCAACTACAAGTGGCGTCCACCTGAAATCGCGATTCCTCCTGAGGAGTTGCGTGAGCTTGGCACATGTGGTTCTGCGCGGTGCGTTGTGTTTTATCCTATCAGGATTGGCTCGACAGGTTTCCATTATTTGGAGTGAGAGTGCGGAGATCAAATGGCTAGCAACCCATCTAGTGAATCCGCAGACCAGGATAGCAGACGTTCATAAGGCGCGCTGAATCTGTGTTCCGTGTGTCTCAAGGTCAAAGGATGGACGACGCAGGTTAGTGACTAAGCTGTTTTGAAATATGCCCAGAAAATTTGGGGCGACCAGTTTATCTGTGTCAAGCCGTTTGCGGCGGCGCTGCCAAGCGCCTCCAAAGAGCAGAACGACCTAAGAACACAGGAGCGCATGATCCGAATGCAAGCTGATGACCCAAATTGAGTCGCAGTCCATTACGCAGCCTAGCCGACGGTAGCTGATGGCGATGTGGTCAACCTGCATCCACTGTTGACCAGGCGCCTGAGCCCACCAAGTAGCTTGTGGGAGTCATGAACGCCGGAACTTTGTGCCTTTAATGAACAAGCCTCAATGGGCGCATAGTTGAGGGAGGCGATCTCCATTTGCTGTCCTACGAAGGCCGTGACTGTGTTGACCACCAGGTTCGAGTTCATGGATGTCTAGTCTACTGACCTGCGCATTTAGGTTTCCGGCCAATACCACGATGTCCGTGCAGTGTTGATTGAAGAGATCAGTAAGTTGGTAGTAGAACTCATCTTTAGCTATTTCCAAGCTGTCTTGTGCAGGGCGTCCGTCGCTGCATCGAATAAACAGCGCCTGCTGGTCCCGTGGCTGCAAGATGCAATGGGCATCCTGCGCGGACTGCACAGAGGCGGCTATTGAGTGGGAATAGGTCAGTCAGCGATGTTTCAGCAAGCCCGCTTAAGGCAACTCCTACGTGACTGCAACCGGAGGTAGCAGCTGTGGTTTCTCCAGATAAGCGCGACATATATGTGTCATCAAAACTTGAGGACAGTAAGAGTAATCGCAGCGTTGTGCTTGAGTCCCGCAAACACCTTTTGGTTAGGCAGGGAACATGGATGGATAGTGCTTCCGGGGTGCGCGTAAGGGCAGCTTGTGATGCAACCTGCATAAAAGTTCAAAAATTAAACGGGCTATCGGGGTGCAATAAACACCTTACTGTCAAAACTGGATTGTGTGCGATCCGTCTTGAGCCCCATTGCGGCACAGTAGCTGAGGTGTTTCCCACCTCTAGCTAACGTGTATGATGATGATGATGATGATGTCTTGAGCCCCACACTGATGCGGCCAGAAATGGCTTTTTTACAATGCGTCTCTGGAGATTCGCAAAAGAAGGGGATACCAAGAGCAGGAAAATTGAATAAACGTGGAACGAAGAATGCAGTTTATGGTGCGATTGAGTAAAGTTTAACATGCCCAGCCGCCCGCAGCATAGCCAAAGGGGGAGAGATGGAAAGTTCTGAGAGCGTGACGCATGAGCAGGAAATTGCAGATCCACCATATCGTGTGTAGTTATGGCTTACAGATTCCCGGTTGTCAAAACCGAGGAACGGGGTTGACTTAGGTGTCCCCACCCGGAGCCTTCGGTCAGAAGGACCTGTTACGCAAGGCAGCGGGCTGAATACAGGGAACCACATCCATTGGTATCCGGTGACCGATCGCTATGTTCCTCCGCCTTTTGTTTGGTGGGCTTCCAATGAAATGCTCAATACTTTCAGCAATTCGGTGTCCAGTTGAAGAACTACAATGCTCCAGTGAGGTAAAGAAAGGAGCAGTGACTTTATTTAGAGGTGAGTCCCATCCGCCACGTCATAATTTTGTTAAACGGACATCTGTAGCTTTTTATAGGAAGGACGATTGTTAGGCGTAAAACACCTACGCCCCAAAGCACTGCTGCCGTACATCGTGCTTTGGAAAGAAGGAACACTTTAATCCGGAAATCTGAGTGATTTCCGTTTAAGCGTTATCTAGATGTATAATTATACCTTCGTTACAAACCATCAGTATTCTATTTTAATCGGAAGCAAGGTCACCGATGATATTATGGGAGCATTTGAAGGAACGGATGCTTTCTCATAAGTGGTGCTCTAATTGTGAATCAACGGTATTATTACCTCTGCGGATTTGTGGAAATGTTTGGATGCAAATCTTGCCTGGAGTCAGGATACAATCCTGGAGGGGAGTAATGGTATCTTACACAAGAATGAAGTATTATGAAGTCGTGGCTAGGAAGTGGGCCGTGCCGGTGAAAATGGATTCAGGGAAGACGGCTCCCGCAAAGAAACACGATGCAGTATGACACAAACGCAGATGAAGAAAACCTCCGGATCACACGTAGCAGTAAAGGGTAAAAAATTATACTGCCAACCAGTTGAGCAGGGCAAGGAGAAGGAAGAAAGTACTGTGAGCCAATTAACTGGGATGGTGTAGTGTACCGGAAAACACGCTCTTTCAATATTTTGCAACGTTGGATTTTACGGTTGTTTTAACCTTCAAAACGTCCATTTGTTTTACAGACTGCACATCCGTTGGCACAAAACCGTTTTGGTGAGTACCTTGCTGCAAGTTTCTCGCTCTGGCTGATTTGCTTCCTATTTATGTAGCCTGCACAATATGCGTTAGGTTGAGTCGCCTCCGACTTCTATACTTTCGTATTTGACACGTCTTACGTGTCATTGTTTACCGACTAGTATCCCAGGCCCCACCCAACAATTTCGTATGACGGTGCAGCATGTAACCGCGTAGCGGCGTGCACAGCCACCACATGCTCAGCTGAGGTTGTTTAGCTCAAGCCAGTGGGGTCACCCGCTCACAAAGAGCAACTGTGCTGATAGGAAGTAAACTGTGTGCCAGTATATCACGGATGGGTCAAGTGAAGTCAATTCAAAATAAGCTTAAGTTGTCTGGATAGGCACATTTGCAGTATTTTACAACATCGACCACGAATGGGCTAAAATGGCATTATAGAAATGTTTATCTTTATAAATGAAAGGAGGAGTACCGTATACATGTAGCAGCAAGCAACAATTACACATTTCTGGACAGAAAACTTCGAAAGTGCATTATGTTGACCGGAATGCATGCAAAGCCAGTTTTCCAACCAGGACTACGTATCCCACTTTACCGAAAAGCTTCTTCATATTGAACCATGTACAATGCGCAATGACTTGGGATTTTTACACAAATTAGCAATGAACAGCAATGTGGACCTTGACAATAGCCTTACCCAAGACAATGATAAAATATTCCTGGAAAACTGATGTATTTGCAAATGATGCTGGAAAGACGATGTACCGGTGAAAAAGGCAACGGCTGACTTAAAGCCTTTCAATGATACGCAATGTGTTGTAATAATTTGATTATGCGTTACTTTTGTGCCGAATAGGTTTTGGCAGAGACCCAGTTGAGCTCTGCCTTAACCGGATGGTTATGTAGCTGTTATGATGGCTAAGGTGTTAAGCGAAACGTTAGTTGAAGTTTTTATAGCTGAAACCCAATGTGTTCTGAAATTAAGGTATCCTGTTTATTGAAAGAACGAGAGGAAATATATGTAGCAAATAAAAGTTACCCCCGCCTTCTGTTGCTTTCCTTTTAAATATTCGTTATAATCCTGTTGCATTTGCTTCTGGATTGCAAGCTTCCTTTGCACAGATTCCCGCTGGCTTTCTTGAAATTCCTGTTCCTTCTCGTTTAGCAATAGTCGTTCTCTAGCATTTTCCAATTCACGAGCACGTACTTCTCTCTCTTGTAACGCCGTACGTAAGTTTTCCTGAAATTTAGTTGATGAAAACTTTAGATAAGCTTTGAAAGTACCCAGGTGGCATGCCTAATCAAAAAGAAACACTGCGCGTTAACTACCGTGTGCATTAAGTTTCCTACGTCCAGATCAGGCTAAATGAAAGGCATGTTAGGAGGTGCTCGCAACCAGTGGAATTCCATATGTGATACGATTGCTATTCGTGTTTGGCTCATTAGCTAAGACGCGTAGCGCGTCACCTAAATTTAGTGCATTATAGCGAACCTCGACTTCTTCGAGTACCATTGATCTCAACTGAGGAGAGGGTGACTGTCCTACTCTCACCGGTTCGTCTTCGCAATTCATCGAGCGGGGTAGCATATTACCAGATATAACTTTGAAAGTGCGGTCAAAGGAAAACTAAAACTATGGCGGCCCTTCTGCGAACGACAACACGAAAACAGTAGTTGTTCATGGTGTTCCTGAACTACCGGATTCTCCTGATTACGATGCACAAACACATGCCCGGGAGCAGTCATTTTACATCCATGAAGAACTCTCCCTGGACCACGTACTCGCAAAATGATTGAAGAAATGTCATTCTTCTCCAAACTACAAGGACTGCTGGTCAGAAGTATGGAAAGTAGAACTACACTCCTAATAAATGAAAAAAGTCTTATCGAATAGCTGGTTGAAACATCGCTCTAAGTTACCAACCGAGATTAGGATGAAGGTAGCAGGTGCACAGCCACGAGTGGGCCATACTTGGTTGGAACATTTTACCTCAATACAATGTTTACCTCCATAGTATTGCAATGTGATAGACACAGTAACACTGTCGACACCTGACGAGACAGAGAGACGCAAGAGAGAACGTCACTATCTGGAACGCTCTGTGCTGCCATGAAACCTGACCGAAAGTCAAGAACCAGTAACCCATGCAAAAGCCATTAATGGCCGACCGACAAACGGTGGTCTTTAAACTAAACACATACTTGACGTCCACCATCACATTTCTAACATATAAGGCACTCTCTTGTTTTTATACTAACGACAAGGCCTTCTTAGTAAACTGATAGAGCTTCGGCTACGTCATGTTACCAGGTTGTAGGACCTCATTATGGTAACGGAGACAGCGTTGAGTGAAGTGATCACGGACACATAAGTCGTACTACCAGGAATGTTTGTTCTACGCAGCAATCGGCGGAATAGACGAGGCGGTATACTACTCTATTACCACAGCGATCTTCTTCTTCAACTTATTGACGAACCGGATGGCCAGACTGTCAACGCGCTTTGGTGTTGTCTTCACATAATAAGTGCTGACATATGTTTAGTGGGCATCGTGCACCGCCCTCTTTCATCCACTTCGGAAATGGATAGTCATCTATCTTCCAATATGAAAACTATCGTCGCAAAGGCACGCCGTTACATCCTCATGGTTGATCACTTCCATCTTGCTGCCATGGAAACCCATGAGCAATTCAAAATGGAGTTGCAGGAGCTAACCATTGGATTGCCACTATACAAATAGGTTGCCTCCCCCAAAATATTCAGAACGGGGAATAAAACAACGAGGAGCTTATGACCGAAATAGTATCGGTAGCTAGTCCTTTGGGCCGCAGCGATCATGCAACATTTTTGTCTAACTACTTCTGTTATGCAGTATTCCACACACAACACCGATGACTCTTAGCTAATTACGAATTACGCTGTTCCGCCACTTTCATTAGTGCAATTGCGTGATCCTTTCTAAATGAACTATCCTCGATGTCGCCTGGTGGGATTTCGTTGATCAATGCAGCAAGTTAGTAGCCAGTGCTTCGAGAAACATGCCACCGCGCGATGAGAGTAAAGCAGTTCATACGGAGCAAAACGAGGAAGTTCATGAACACAAGAGATTCACTCTGGCGAAGATACAATCACCGGGTGCTGCAACTTGGGAAGTCTACAATGTGCAATGAAATCACTGCGTAAATCTGGTAAGTGAGGATAAGCTAAATTATCAACAGGATCCAGCCGATAAATTCTCCTTGAACCCCAAACACCTTTACAAACATGTTAACAAACTCGTAAAATGCAGCGAGGTATTCCTGCCTACCGCACTCCAAGTGGACAAGTACAAACTACAATCGGAACGGCCAACGCCCTACGTCAACAATTCTCCCCAAACCTTTAGCACACGGCTTCGTCGCTTATGCTGTTCACGCAAGTTATACCAACACAAGGACAATCATATCTCGTTTTTGTCCACAGATGTTCTGAAAATGCTAAATTCGCTACGCGAGCATACCTCTCCTGGTGCCGACAATATCGGACGAAAGCCACTGCAGTTAGTTACAATGAATTTGGCGGGTCCACTCTTACACTTCTTCCAACGACGTCTCGACGAAATGTGTGTTCACACAATGTGGAAGCACGTTATCTTCACTCCCATTCACAAAGGAGGAAATCGTGCAGATACAGTGAACTATCGCCCGATAATCCTCCTGTCGGTGCTATCCAAACTCATGGAATCAGCTATTGCCGAGGCGCACAGGAATGACTTGGGGCATGCAAAATAATAACACCAGAACAGCATGGACTTCTCTAGTACCAGTCTTGCACCACAAACCGGCTGTTTGCTGGCTCTAAATGGACTGAAATCGATAAAAGCGGTGTGGGAGTTGGCGCCGTTTCGCTAGACTTCTCAAAGTCAATCGACCGTTGGAGCTACCACAGGTTCCTTCACAAGCTTTAGAGCTGTTGAATTGGCAACCCCATTCCCTGGTGGATAGGTAACTTTCTGTTTCCACAACATTTGAATGTGAGTTCGTAGCCCCTTCTCTGACCCTATGGCTATTTATTACGGAATGCCACAGGGCTCAGTACTTGGTTCACGCCCATTCACGCTTTGCATTAACGAGCTTGCAAGAGTTATAGTTTCCAATTTCTTACTCATTGCTGATGATCTCAAGATATGGCTGGCCATCAAAACGAGCGACCACGTAGCGCTTGATAGGGTATACGAATGGGTTACTCAAAACCTGCTTCATTTCACTGCCACCACGTGTAAGACATTGTGCATATGCCATCCACAAACTTGTGAGTACAAGCTGGGAGATCAAGCATTGTAGCGTGCTATTACGAAATGCGATCTAGGTGTGACAGTACAAAGGGATCTTGGCTTTTCACGTCAGGCGGAGAAGGTGATCAAGAAAGCCAACCACTACATTAACCTTTTGCGGAGAGCGTTCAGGTACTTTGATTGTTCAATTTTCTCTCAAATGTTCAATGTCTTCATTAGGCCATATTCTGAATACGGCATTCACGCCTTGCAGCCTTGGTACGAGCACCTCACCGCACTTGAACTGCCACAACGAAGGGCGAACAAGAACGTAAAGGTCCTGTTTCATCTCCCTTAGCAACTGAGGATGAAAAACCTTGGGGTCTACAGTGGACAAAACCGACCAATACGTTGCGATTTGATAATTACATGGTTGATCATAAGGAATCCAAACCACGCATGTAGTTATCTTCTGAAGCTGAATCACCATACTACGTTGAGAGGCCCCCAGCTTTAGCTGACCACACAGTATAGCCGTTTGGACTGTCACCGGAAGTTCTTTTCACTTCGCTTATGTCAACCATCGAAAGCCCTCCCCAATTAGGTTGTTTCTTCCCTCACACTGACGGTATTCCAAAAAGGTCTAGACGATGCACTCATATATTTGCATTAAGTCGCATAATCCACTATACTCGGGAGTCAACCTACTACTAGAAATGAACACGCGTGCCTTCACTTTCAGCACATACTTCGTTAAACGCTACTATTGGATTTATGTCTCCCGGAGACCCAAGAAACCTGCACACAACTAAACGTTGTCATATACCATATTTAGTCTTTTGCTCACATATTACGTGATTTAAAACCACTCTCCATATTCAATTGTGGGCGTACGTTCAATAGTTATTTCAAACTACTGTTATCTAGCATTTCAGTTAAACGTGTAGTCGTTTAAATCGACGATTTGCTCATCCATTTACCTATTTTTTATCAATATAAAAGCCCTACCGGACTTGTCAACACTCGCTATTTTACCCGTGTTCATTGTACAAGTCGCTGCCTGTGGTGGCTAAGTTCTGGCATCAATTCTTGGTCGTATAAATCCAAGGTCCCGTATACATTTGTTTTTCGCCACTCTTCACTCTATATTCATCCCTCTTTTCAGTCAAATGTCAGTTGGCGCCTCACTGGGATCATGTACTGACGTCTGGTCTTGGCGCATCATCCGTCGACATCCCACTCTAAGCTCACGAATGTGACCTGATATGAACAAACAAGGCCTTCCTATTATATGTGTACTCTGCTGCTTATCCACCTTAAGAGTGGTGCTGACCATTCCTTTAAAGATGACCTGCAGTTACTTGTCCAAGACGTCCGTACCCGAAGATGAGGTAACATTCGACTCAGCTAGCGATGGAAGCAACTCCCCTCTATCCATGTAGTAACGCTTAGATGGCACACGTTCATAACCTCGGTCTAATGTGGTTTAGTATCTCTTCTAAAGGGTACGAGGGGTAAGTTAAATCAACTGATTTCACTCAAACGGTTTTGCTGAGGATTCCTGGTGTGTGCAAGCGTTGCGCGTTGCAGACAAATGGGGAAGTACTTCTTTGACCTCAAGTGAGGGCAAGTAAACTAGCCGCAACTGGCACACCCGGCAGGTTATTTGGGGAAACGGTTGATAGAAATGTGCCATCATAAAACTTGACGGAAAGGTAATAGTTGTATCTTTAGCAGAGACTAGCAAGGATCTTTACCAAGTCACTAGAAGTAATCACTGAAGCAGCGCAAACTTCGCGAATGGAGGAAATATGCGTAGCTACTGTAAGTGTAGTAACGAAACTGAGTGAGGAAAGTATCCAAGAAGAAGAAACCTTTTTAGGAGACTGATTCCTGGCTCCGTGCTCAGTTAGTCTACTAAGAAGCTAGCCGCCGACATTGCTCTGTCTTTCAGTTAATTCAGTCATTTAGGTCGAGACTCAAAATC